TATATATATATATATATATATATATATATATATATATATTTATATATTTATATATTTATATTTATAATATGGCGTTTGTTACGCTGATTGGCTAAGAGCCTGTGTTCATATAACTCCGAAGGATAAGAAAAATTTCCACCGCTTGCAAACATGGAAATTTTTCTTATCCTTCGGGCTTTTGATATTGCTATATTATAAAAATAAATATAAAACATTTTCCCGTATTGATATTTAGTTATATCAACAATCGTGGAAGTTACAGTATTATACATATTTACAATAATAATATATTAACAACTGAGTGCAGCACTCTTTCCTTGACAAGTAAAACTATCTGGTGTTAGACACAATAAAATAATAAACTAGGGTGCATTGCCACTTAAAGGGTTAATATTGTAAATAATATTCTACTATAAATATGTAATGTTGTGGAGTAGTAAGGTTGTCATTGTAGAATTATAAAATATTATTTTGTGCCAAGCCACCACCATGGCCGATGTGCAAGTCAAGAATACAGCATGCTTGCATTTACTCCTATAATGTGGATCAAAATTAGGTGGGATAAACACAGAATTTGCTGAAATAATTCATCCCACTCATGCGGGTGAGCTTCCTGGCAAACTGGGCTCATATTAGGTCCTAAAAGCCCAAACAGATGAGGACGTTTCTGACAAGTTTTTCACAGGGAAACTGGAAAATTGTACTGATAAACTTGTCAAGGAAACTTGCTTGTCCTATGCATGTGTAATCGCATGTGTAGTCGGCTTCCCACCACCCTGGGGACCCCCAGGCAATAGTGGTGCCTTTGCAAAAACTGACCTAGAATTCCTCACCATTTCCCCACCCACAGGCCAATTTTTAGGTGTAGCCAAGGCTATCGCTTGACGCTATAAATTCAACAAAGACCTTTAGGCCACTACAAGTTAATCTTTAGTTTCTGGTCCTGCCTTACCTTCGTTTACGACGCGGGCGAGCAGGTGGTTTATAGGACTATAGGACATAATTACAATTGTGGCTTGCCCACATTTCTGTGGTCTTTATTCTTGTCCCTTTTCCTGTCCCTGGTCTTTATGCTAATTGTATCAAAATGTTATGAAATTTTACATAAATTGCATTTATATTATTTATAAATCGACATGTATGACAGATTACAAAGGATTTTACATATCAAAATGATCTACTAATATTTCTAGTTTTTTTTTACCTCGTATTAATATCGATAAGGCAGCGGTTTTTACCATTCAATACTACATTTTGCTCGGTCTTTTTAGTGTAAATTAAATATTTATCGTTCTATATAAGTTAAATCCTTTGCGAAAATTATATAGAAATATAGAAATTATTATAGAAATTAATTGTAAATAACAAAATAGTCCTGAAATAATACTTTACGGAGAAAGGACGCGGGCGGCGGACCAGAAACTAAAGATCAACTTGTAGTGGCTTTATATATATCCTTTAATATATATATGCATGTCCAAACAAATCATTCATTAATATTAATGCGACGCGTATTATGACTAGATGAAACGTTGTATGAATAATGTATTTTGTAAGAAATATCGTCAAATGAATAACGTGAAAACATACCGTTGTTGATTACAGCCGTAGAGTTGTTTAATATGTTTAAATATTTACGTATGTGTGTAAAAAATATATTTTAAAAGTCACTTACCAAGAGAGGCCCTGAATTGTATATCCACGTCCTCTGCGAGGTCCACGTGAACCACCTTCACCTTCCTCTTGATTACAACCGTCGAGTTGTTCATTGTCGTTATTGCCTCCCTCCATCGTCGGTAAAAAAAAGGTTTGCTTTCAATACTCGAGCGCGCCAAATTGACGCGCCATGTTTGAGCTTCGAGTAGCAAGAATAAAAGTGAATATCAAACCTTTCTCCCCCCCTGATCATAGTTAGACGACGTTGTGAGACGTCACTTGATTCAATTACGCTTATCCAATTAGGCGCGAGATTTAAATTTAAAATTGAACGTCTCTACACAAAATTTACCTTGCGCCCAGTCACATCGTAAATTTTGTGTAGAGGCCGTGGTTTGAATTGAAATTTCTGCAAAGGGAAACTTTCAAATTTTGAAAGGACTACATTGTTGGAAAGCAAGATAGTTGTTTTATCAGCTGTTGTAGAATTTTCGGCTGAGCTTTCCGTATTGTTGAGTTAGACGGGTTTGTTTATGGTGATACGTGCAGCTTGGCCAATGGATGTTGCCAACCTTGTCTCCTTTCCCCTCCTCCGCCGCGTCGCCGTGAGTGTCATGATTTTAAAGCTGGATTTCAAGCGCTTCTACTAAAGGTATAAACTATTTATTTTTGCTGATGCATGCTATGTACCTAAGTATATTTCCTTCAACAATAAGTATTGATTAGTGATACATTTCAGTGTAAAAATTCAGAATATTTTCGATCTAATCGTTAACATTATTATTTTGAGGTCGAAACCGCAGGAGGTAATTAAGTATGCCAAGCATTTAAATCGCACAGTGTGTTTGGGCTACCTATGGTCTAGCTGATATATTAATTTTATTTAACAATACATGGTTTGAAAAAGGTGTTTAATTAAAAAAGATAAACTCTGAAATTACACTGAAGTACTTTTGCCTGTTTCCACTTTTAAATATGAAATTTCCTTAAAAATTCCTTGGCGGAGCTGGAGTTTTGATTGCCAGAGCCTCTTGTGATAGAAGTGAGGACATGACGAGGATGCTCTGGTCACACGAGCATCCAGCCTCACCTTGGTGAGTTCAATATTTGAACTCTGTTTGTGATTGGTCTAAATTTATGCAAGTCTTTTCATTGGTTAACAGACGCTCATCGGTCACAAACAGAGTTCAAATACTGAACTCACCAAAGTGAGGCTGGATGATCGTGTGACCAGAGCCTCCTTGTCGTGTCCTCACTTCTATCACAAGAGGCTCTGGCACCCAGGATGGAGTTTTGACTGCCCGAGCTAAAATAACCAGAGTCTACACAGCTCTAGGGTACAAATGTTCATGTACTCGCAAAAAAATTCAACCCGGTTAACCGGGCCGAGTTCAACCCCAAGGTTTAAAGTGCTCCATGTAATCGCCCCCTAATTAAGCTCAAATCACACTAAGATTGCAGAGCATCAGAGCTCAAAATGATGTTAGCTAATTTCACTTTTGATAGTTGAAATATATAGGCATAATACTCATCTAAATGAATTTTATACTGCCGGTTCCTCCATAGTATTTTTACTGCCACATTTGACAAGCATGTTTAATATTTATACCTCATAAAATGTGCAATGTACATAGTGAAAGTCGACATATATTTAGACTCTACTTAGATATTATAAATAAATATTAATAACTTTAAAAGAAACTCAAACATTCAAAATGTTGCTTTGTGTTTTAATAAATACGTAACTGTTTCGGACAGCCCAGTTAAAGCGAATTTCACACTAGTACTAGAAAATACATGCAGCAGAAACCCTCGCCTTACTGACAAAACCATTGTATTTTCCGAACATGAAGTATCTAAACTAGTTCTCATGGTAACACGATAATTTTTTAAGAATATTCTTACAAATGAAAAATCGCCTAAAAATATCACTTTTAATTACAAAATTATTAATTTCCCAACATATATAAGTTAGGTATGTTATTATACGTAATATAAGCCTCAATTTAAGATAAAATTCAACCACAAACGCTTCGCAAAACGTTTTAAAGTCACTAGTGTTCTTTATAAAACTAAACCGTGCGCATCCTTTTAAAATGGCTTTATCGATAAACTAGGAGTTTGCAATAAAATGATTTCAAATTCTCGCTTGCAAATAACTTTGCTTTCTTTTTTATATAAAAAATTCAATATCATAAAAAAGGGAATCAATATTAATTAAAGATACACAGAAATTATATGCTGTCTTGTTTTAATAGTTGTTTCATATACGCAAAGGCCGTCGGGTTTTAAAGCCAATATTTAAAACAAATCAATATTTAAAAAAAACTTACCTTCGTTAACGTCGGCTCCCCTCTTTTAGCCGATTCTTTTAGTCTAGGACCTGTATATGAGTTTGTATGCATTTAATTTAGGACAGATAATCTCAACTGTTTTAGGGTAAGTTGACCATGACGGTCAACATGGTAACGCTGCCCGAACCCCAATCCGGGGCGAAACGTCCGAAACTGACCACACCCAAAAACGACGCTTTCGTCATACTGCTATCTCCCAGACCATAAAAGCTTTGGCTATTCTGATGTGCTTATATGGTTCAGAGATGGTACTTTTGAGGGTGGTCATTAGTAAGTGTGAAATGCCTAGCACTAATATTTTACAAGAAAATTGCCGTGCAATAATCATAGTTAAACGTCAATTTATGGCTTGCAAATTCCGATAGACAACAGTGGACTTACATTACCTTTTCCCTAAATAATAATAGACGGTATATTTAAAATACAATCGCACTAATACAAGTAATAGTGAATTATAGTATTTTTACAAGCATAAAATTATGAAGACTACTGTTACTTTTTAAAACTAGGAATTGGAGTTATATAAAAATGGAAATTTAGATTGTAAACCTAATTGACAACGGTCATGACTTGTTCATAGTACGTGAGCACATAGCTGGGAAAAAACTGTTCTTAAATCTGTCCGTCCTACACTTAAATAGGCTAACATTACTAGAGTGGCGCAGTTCTCTGCCATGCGACTCAATCCGGGTCGGAGGTAAAATGCGGTTAAGGCGTGATGATGGTATTGTTATTTTATCCAAAACCTTCTTACAAAGAGTATCACGACGATCGGATAGACGGGGAAGAGAGGAGGTAGCAAGCGCGGTTGAATAGGACATGTTTGGATATAAAATCCGTAGAGCACGACGTTGACCCCTCTCGATTTTGTCGGAAAGGTAGGAGGGGATAGATGTATTCCAGGCTGCACAGCAGTATTCTAGCACAGATCTGATAATCGAAATGTAGATAGTCAGGAGGTCGTTGGCAGAGACACCGGAGTTACGCAAAACTCGCAAAATATGAAGTCTCTTTGAAGCTTTGGACGTGATAGAGTCAACATGGGCGTTCCATTTTAGATCGTTTTGTAAGGTGACTCCTAGCAGTTTAAAACAGGTGACCTTCTCTAAAGGTTGGGAGTTGATCGACAATGTAGAAGACAGTTCTTGCGGGGGGTTGCGAAGAAAAGAGATGGTAAAGTCCTTGCACTTTTTAGGGTGTAATTTCATGTTATTACTCATCGACCAG